CCTGCCTCCAGATACTGCCAAGTCAAAACTGTGAATGAAATCCACCTTAAATAGGTGCATTGTATCAAACTTTCAATAAAAAGGAAATTACTGAATTCATGTTATACCGAGCAGTTACTTCCATAAATTCCACAAATGAAACAAATCATGTAAGGGAACTCTATATATTCATTTGATCACACTCTACATTTAGATATTCTTAGCCTTCAAACAATACTTCTTGTTCACATAATGTTTGCAAATACATGTTCTGTACATCTTTAATACTACATTTTGTTAGGTATATTTAAATAAAACTGTTAGGATCATTTCATTATTTCTCAGAATAACCATCAAGAACAGTCTATTTATTGTAATGAAATACTGGATTACACAGTATTCAGATATAAACTGGTAAACAGGCTACATTTGTCAACATAGTTCTTAATAACAATAGTGAATAAGACACATCATTGCTATCACAAACACAGATTATCTGCGCTGACACAAACATCAGTTAAAACTGGCTACTTATATTTATATAAAGTTGATGGCAGTGGGCTTTCAGGAGGGAATCCACTGTAAGAGGGAAATTAAATCCAGCCAGAAAAGCAAATAAACTCTCTGCCAAGTAAGGAAAAGAACTATTCACACTGGGGATTACAGCATCTTAACATTTCAAAAAGGGATAAAAAAATTCATAAATGAAGACAAATGGTTGAACGGCTTACAGTCTGAGAAAGATCCATTATTCTTCAGCCCTCTTGTTTTACTGATACAGTTAATTTTAACAATAATACATACACATACTTGCTTTGTTTCTGGTTCTAAGCTGAACGTGTCTCCTGAAAGTCTGCATAAAGAACACAAATAGAAAAGACTATTCCTTCTCAAGTCTCTGGCAATGAGCCTGTTCTCCTAAGAACTTGTGAAATTATTTGCCAGTCAGATTAACATTATCAAACTTTTTAAAATGACAGGCACACCAATGGGAGATTGTCTTGTTATTGGTGATCGTACTTGTCTGTACCAAAGGGACATATTAAGGCTGTCAAAGAATGCTTGAATCCTGAAGGATATTTCAATGTTGATTAGTAAGAAGAATTGCTTCCTTATTTTGAGTTGTATGCAGCAGCAGGTAATTTTAAAGGTAACACATTTTAATTGCAAACAAAGTTCATATCTTTTCTCTAACAAGGGCTCCAAACAATGTTTATATTAGGTTGTCTGTTAGTTTCTCATTAATTATTGGCAGCCACTGACAATTTTCTTTTCAATGCTATCAAGATAATTTTTATGTACCAATTAAACTTGAATTCACTTTAAGTAAGATCTCCACAGCCTGATATAATTGAATCTCCTTTCAGCAGATAGCCTTTCATTTTCTTGATAGTAACAAGTCTAATTCCAAGTGATCAGAAATCCATTACAACAAAAATCTCCACAGTCAATGAATTATTTCAAAATGTAATTGTTGCCATGTAAAGGAACATGTCTACCAGTTTAAGCATACCAAGACCATGAACAAGCAAATCTGTTGGTATTGGTCGAGGGGTAATCCTGGGATAAATCTTTACTCTGCCTCAGATATATCACAGAATCTTTTACAACCACTTAAAATAGGCAGATGGGATTCATTTGAAAAATGCCTTTCCTTGCAATGTTTCCTTAAATCTTCAAAAGAAGTGGCGAAGGCTGGAGGGCAAGTTGGCTATGGTGGATTGGGAAACTATAGCGTAGAAATTGACAGTAGTTAGGCAATAGCTGACATTTACAGAAGTACTACTTGGCTTTATATCTAGAGGATTGGAGTATAAAGACACAGACCTTACCTGGATTTCAAGGGTTAAGTTATTAGGAGAGATTATACAAAACATGCTTGCCTTTTCTAAAAATTTAGAAAGTCAAGGGGTGATCTGATCAAAGTCTTCAAGATATTAACAGGAAAAGACAGGGTAAACCATTTCCATTGGTTGGGGATTCTAGAACTGGGGACATAATCTAAAAATAAGGGCCAGACCATGCAAGAGAGATGTTAGGAAGCACTTCTCTCTTCAACAAATGGCAGTTGATGCTCGATCGGTTATTAATTTTAAATCTGAGACAGATTTTTTTTGTTAAATGAGGTTATTAAGGAATATAGGCCAAAGGCAGGTATATGGAGATAGGCCACAGATCAACCATGAAATCACTGAATGGCAGAACAGACTTGAGAGGTCATATGGCTTACTCCTGTTCCTATGTTTCTATGTGGTCCTCATTCCTCTAAGACACAAAAAAAATCACGAAAGGTGAATTTACTATGACTAACAAAGGAAAACGAGATTGGCTTATCTTGTTACCAGAAAAAGCGGTAAGCCTGAGGATTGGGAGCAACTTAGAATCTTAAAACTTAAAGATTCAGCAAGAAACTGATAAAGAAAATGAAAAGAGAATATGAATGCCAGTGAGCAAGAAGCATAAAGGTGGACTATAAAACCTTCTTTTGGTGTATGAAAAAGAAAAGATTAGCAAGGTCAGGTATAGATCCATGATGAGCAGAGAGAGGAGAATTTACAATAGAGGATAGGAATATGACAGAGAATCAAAACAATTACTGTTGAACAGAAGCCAGCTATCTCACATTGCTACTTTGCAGTAAATCAACAAGTGGCTTTCTCTATCAACCGGAGACTATCTGCTGCATGACTATTGTAATTCCCTAGCCAGGCAGCATCTACCTGCCAGGTCGAAGAAGCAAGATTGGCTGTTTCTGCTCCGTTTCACAGTGGAAACTCTCTACAGGTTGGAGTCACATCTAGGGCAAATGAATGTGGTATGGGAATTAGATGTCAGTGTCTCACTTGCAGGAGTTGTTCGTGACAGCGTTCTAAGCCTAACCATCTTCAGCTGTTTCATCAAAGCCCTTCTCTCCAATATAAGGCCAGAAGCTGAGATATTTGCTAATGATTGTGCAATGGTCAGTCCTGCTCACAACTTATCCAATACTGCAGCATCTAAGGTACATGCAACAAGACTTTGATCATTTTGACCTGGTCTGATAAGTAATACCGCGCCAAACCAATTCTGGACAATGACCATCACAGAGAGAAAATCTAATCATCTCACAAAGACATTCAAAGGCATTACTTAGGCCTGCCATATAAATATCGTGGGTACAAGGTCAAGTTAGAGGTTGGGAATTCCGCAGTGACTAACTCACCTCCTCACCTTCTAAAGCTTGCCTGCCATCTAGAATGCAGAAATCAGGAGTGTGATTAAAAACTCTCCACTTGCCTGAATGTGTAGTTACGACAACACTTAAAGAGCTCAACACTATCCAGGACAAAGTAAGCCACGTAAAGAGTACCCCATCCATCAGATGAAACATTCACTCCTTCTACCACCGGAACACAGCAGCAGCAGTTTTTACCAGCAACCAAACCAACAAACTCTACCACTTAGAAGTACAAGGGCAGCTAATGCATCAGAACAATACAATGTGAAAGGTCCTCTCCAAGCATTGCATCACTTTGACATGGAATGATATTGCCAATCCTATACCGGATCTAAAACTCAGGACTTCCTCCCAAACAGCTGTATGAGTATAACTGCATCAAAAGGACTGCAGACTGCAGAAGTTCAAAAACACAGCTCAGCTCCTTCTCAAGGACAAATCCTAATGGTAATAAACATTGAATCCAAACATGAAAGGATTTGGGAGCTCTATGAAGGATGGTTTTGTGAACATGTCAATAATCTTGTACATGATTTTTCTGGTTGTATTCATGGACCTGATGAATTTTGTTGGATATTACTCATTTGTACAGGTGGATTTTTGAATCCTAAGAGAATCAAGGACATTGACTTTGTTCAAAATGGAGCTGAACTCAAAGCTTGACTCTATTGAATGGTGAATAGGGGTCATACAGCATGATCCTATTTCTTACAAATTACAAATGACAGAGACTAACAGAAAATTAAATTAGTCCGCAGTGATGTCAGCCAAGTAGCTTGTTGTATATTAATGTCACCATGAACACTTTCAACAATTATAGCTGCACAATCCACATACCTGCCATCTGAATTAGGTATAACATAAGCTAGCTTTGCCTCAGTATGACATGCTTTAATACAACAGCAGATTTTGAATCAAATAACTATCAGTAAAAATAAAAGGATATTTTCTGTTTGAAACTAGTTGTCTACTGTAGGTATCAATTCAATATATTTGTTAATGGAGACTATGAGTAGCTTGCTATGAAACATCAATTAGACAACAGCCACAGAATGTGGTCTTGTTTCACTGTGAAATGAACAACATAATAATTGCTTTTGAACAGTAGTTCTTCATGGAAAGTGGATGAGCTCTGAGGACAAAACAGTACTACTGATTCTGGAAAGCAATGGCCAACTTTGGCTTTGTATTTTGGATGAATTTTAGACATAGAAGAGATTGTCAGAACAAAGCATATGACATGTGAACAGAATTGAATGTTATTGGAATAGGATCAACTGATACATCAAATACTATGCAGGATGGAATTTTTGGGCTGCTGCAGCTTAGAGTTTTTCTCTCTAAGGACAATAAGATTGAAGAGCAGTGCTGGGAAGATTCTATACATTTATTCAATTACCTTCGGGGACCAGGGGGCATTTATATAGAACTTTCTTTCAAGAGCATAAAGTAATACCTTGTCATGATACACATTATTTGTGAAAGAAAGTATTCATAGACCATTTCTTGAACTATCTGTTTATCTTCTTGCGGGAAATGTACTCAAGGTGATGCCAATATCAATCTTATTTCCCCATGTGCAGTTCTCACTTAAACATAACATGACAATGATTTCTGTAAATGGTAAATTTAAACCCAAGAATCTCTATTTAAGAAAAAAGTTATTCTTAGAAATAGTGCAGCAGCAAAAGAACTCTGTGCCATTTGGACAGCATCTGCTGCATCAATCTGTTGAATGTATCTGTTCAAGAATAAACATCTCTGCAGAGAAACGATATATTCTACAACCTTACATAGCACTTACTAATTCCTGGCTATCTTGCATCAGTGGTAGAAATGTAGCCTTCAGTATGGTCATCTCATCAGGGCTCAAATTTTGCCACAGGCCAATCAATTGAACCAACAAATGGGTGCCACTCTTCAGCCTGGTGAAAACTTGGTACAAGTTGGCCTGATTCTCCTCTGCAGCATCAGCTAGAGCTGTAAGCTGAAACAAAAGCAACAGTAATTATATCATTTTTTAGCAAATATCAAATATAATATTTTCAACAGGAGCTCTTTGAAAAAAATTTGGATCACAAGAGTACTATTAAAAATACATGCAACGTTACAAGGAAAAGGGAAAGGAAATTAAACTTTTATCAATTTAACATAAAAGGATGCATGACAATACATAGTGGTTGTAAAAGGCCCTTTAAATGAACAAGCATTACACACTTATAACATTATCCATGATGTAAGTGCAAATTACTGACCTGGAACACGTCAATAGTTCTTTCACAGTTGGGATCTTTTTAGCTACTTCCCTGAACTGTGTTAGCAGGAAATCTTCTCATCACTTCTCCTCACCTGCCTGTTTATTGTTTGTGTCTGCTTGGTTTTTAATAGGCCCATTCCTAGCAGAGGACCTGTGCAGCTGCTTAGTCTTAAAATCAGATTACTTTGGTATCTACCTCTTGGGGTTCTGTTTATGGCAAAGGGGTCAACATAGCAGATGCTGTCAGACCTTTCTCAAGAGCAACTAAGAATGGGCAATAAATAGTGGGCTTGCCAGCAATGCTCTCATCCCATGAATGAACAAAAACAAAGGCCATACCATCAGAAACATTAAAGAATGCAGGAGTTATATGACAGATGATTTTGTTAACACATCAATAATATCACAGATTGTTAGGTTGTTTCTATAAATCTGGCTTTTGTTGGATATTGCTCATATGAACAGATTGATTGTTGTGCTCTAAGGACCAAGTAATACAGTGATTGAGTAGGAACTGGAGTTAAGGTTGAAGATGAACCATGATCCTATCAACTGATGGCATACACCTGAACCTACCGAATAGTGACTGCTGTCACCTCGATCCAGCACATTATGGTTCAACACAGTTAACTGCGCCACTGAATTTTCAAGCCATTTCTTTTATGCAGCAGTTCAGCAGTATACTCTCCACTTAATGAGCAATGAAGGGTATGCAGTTGTGAAGCCAGATCAGTAACCCAGAGGTCACATGCTCAAGTTGCAACATAGCAAAAGTTATGAAACTGAACTCAGTACCAGACTGTGAAAGCTGCTGTTTTTGTTGTAAAAATCCACATGGTTTACAAATGCCCTTCGGGTTAGATAAGGGAAGGGAACATATCACTCTGTCCAGCCTGGCCCATATGTAACTCCAGCCCCACACTATCTTAGCTGATTCTTTAATTGCAATGTTGCTCACATTCCAAAATCAGGTTTTCTGCAACAGATACGTAGATGTTGCACATCAAAATTCTAGAGCTAAACTTCTTACATATGAGTGCACTCATAGTGGACCATAAATGACTGTAATTCAAATCTGGCTTGCCTCACTGTAGACACACACTCATATAACTAATAGGTAATTTGATCACACCTGGTACAAGGACTTTGCTAGAAAATATTTGTCAATATTTGGGTCACACTTCCAAACAGTGTCAGGTAAAGGGGTAACTATCAATGCTCAAAGGAGAGATAGCAGATTCTGAAGTCAATAAGATACAATAATTTACAAATGGAGTGCATTTTTAACTGAAAATCATCTGGACACTTGCTGCAAGACTGACGAAAGAAATTGACTGAATGGTCTTTGGTGGTTTCTAGATTCTTACCATACTAGTGAAACTATAATGTACACTAGAAAATTGATTAGATTTTTGAATAGGATCCCAATGCTAATATCCAGATTAAAATCAGATAAGCTAAATAAATGTGCATAGCATTGCATCCAGCGTCACAATCAAAGATAATCTACTGTTCTTAATTAAACCTGTATGGATGGACACAGATGATTTATGAGGATATTGTTATGAAGTTTGACAATGGCCGCTAGTGAAAAATCCAAATTGGGGTAGGTTGTGGAAATGTGATATACCAACCAGCAAACCAAGAAATTGTACGCAAGTCTAAGAACCTAATCTTGTTTGAGATCAGTCATGATTGTATAAATAGCAGGGCAGGCTCTCGGGGCTGAATTGCCTACTCTTGCTCCTCAGTATTATGTTCTTACATTCTTCTTCTGTGCTTCACAAAGCTAATAGCTGAACCGATCTACATGACTACTGTAATCATGTAGGATTCCCTGTACTGTAAACATGAAGTTTTATGCTGTTGTCTTCAGGAACTGGTAGGGCTTTTCTCTTGAATTGTAGCAAAGTTTTCCATCTGCAAAGTTTTGCACTTGTGCTGAATTATGATCCATATCTCTTGATCATTCCCTCAAGCAAGTCACTATGTTTCCTGTAGAAAGGTAAAGAAACTCTTCTCAGGTGCTTGTTCTGGTGGTTTTTAGGGTTGACCAGGCACTATGGGTATATATCTATAGCTCTTGATTGGTGGAAGTTGAGAGGTCTGCAGCCAGGACTGAATTAGAAGGTCCAACCTTGGGGGATTTTTGAGGCCTTCAAAGTTAATTCTCTTGAGACATTGCCTCTGTTGCTTTGTTGTTTGGAGGACAGGCTGCAAGATACAGCACACTGGATTAAGATGGTGCGAAATTCAGCACTTACTTATCATTATCCATCATGGCCCAAGTGACACAAACATATCTGTTGTCCTTTGCTTGATCGATGACATAATCAAACAGGTACCAATGTTTGGACTATGGATGTTACCAAGAGATCTTGTATTTGTATTCCCTAGTTCATCCTCACCTATCACACCTTTCCACAATCTATCATGGCTCTAGCGCTGAAATCCTCAAGGAGGATCAATGTGTCATCTGTTAGAGCGTGGGTTCGGGTTTACTGAGGGTCAATGTAGAACCACTCTTTTATTTCATCTGTTGCTTCAAGAATAGGAATATTATGTGCTGATTCCTCATTAAAGTGAGCCAAACATACATTAGCTGCTTGTCACCAATTTGCCAGAAAAGCTTATTAATGTCTTCTTCACCAAAGCATGTGAGAAAATAAGCCTTTCTCTAAATTCTAGGACTATTTTCCATATTCTGATTACTTCCTGTCAATAAAACCAGACATAGATGTTGGAATTCATCAACGATTACAATGTGCCTGCTCAGGCAACTTGCTGAGGAAAAGAGTATTTGAGAGACAGGATCTCAAACCTGAATCATGGATTACTAGGCAGCTGTGATCTCTGCACACTAATTATGCTCCAGAGACTTGGACAACCTAGAGCAAGCACCTCAAAGCATTGGAGAAAAACCAACAGAGTGCCTTTGCAAGATCTTCCAAATCCAGGGAATCCAACAGCAATGCCATCTGCCAAGCCAAATTACACAGCTGCAAGGTGAATGGGACATACCATTCACATTTTTGAAGTCAGACTTCTAAAGCAACTGCTCTACCTGGTATTCAGTCATAGCAGGAGACTTCCAGAATGGTAACTGAATACCTTTCAGGATAGTCCCAAAGCATCTCTGATAAGATCAAACATTTCTGTGACTTATATAATTTGCTGCCCTGCGACCAACCAAAATGGGGAATGTTTATCTGGGAAGGTTTATTAAACAGGTCAGAAGACTCGAATCAGTGCTGGATTGCATCCTTGGATATTAAAGAAAATGCATACAGAGAAAGTGGATGCACTGGTAGTAATCTTCCTGGAATCCTATATTCTGGAAAACTGGAGGATTGCAAAACTGTCAATGCAACACACTAACTCAAAAAGGGAAATGGACAAACAAAAAATGGTAACTTCAGGCTAGTTTGTTCAGTCAAGTGGGAAGGATGATTCACAGAGTCTACAGACAGCTGGACAACTTAACACAGATAGATTACGTAAAACAGTTACGTGACTGGGCTAAAGCTTGTGTGGAAACCTGTGCGGAAAATGAAGGAAAGCGACTCACCAGGTTAAAGCGATCCTGGCCAGTCAGGGCATCAGTCCGCCACAGTCTGACTGTGAGCCAGCCTCGCTGAATGGATCAATGAGGGGCTCAATCCTCTGATAAGGTGTTCACTCTGTTCAATAACACACTGGGCTTTCGTCTCTCTCAATTCCAATAACCAGCCACTAATGGACTGATGACTCCAACTTAACCCAGCAAAGTGTCAAACTTCAGCGCAACACCTCAATTCAAAATGGCTTTTTTTTTGTCAGTGGTTAATGAATTGTGTTAGCTTTTTTGGCCTCCTGCCATAAGGATGTAGAGCTGTTTGTCTTTTTTACACTAACAAGAAAACCCAAACTGAAAAAGTAATAGAGACCAGCAATAATTTTCCAGTTACTGACATTTCAAATAGTGTACTTAAATAGGTTGTATAAGAATAAACTTAGGAAGCCAGACATAGTCTTCGAATCTACCAATGAGATGCTGACTTATTTCTTCCCTGCCCTTATTTTAGAACGGTGTTGGGCAAACTCGTTGATGTTGACTTTAGCTGTATTATCTGGGACTGGCAACAAATGTAGTAACTCTTCTGAGATGGTATCCTTTCATATAAATGTAGCTGATACACTAATATTAGCAATTGTGTATCTTCACTTGAATTCTGCTTATCCATTAAATATTTCCTGAGCTGCTTTATCTATCATAGAGAAGGAATCCTTTGTTTTTAGATGTGGAGTTATCACGTGTCATTGTGTATGGTAACTTTGTTTGGAACAGTCTGTTTCAAGATGGCATCGGAGTCTGTTTCAAGATGGCGTCGGAGTCTGTTTCAAGATGGCGTCGGAGTGTGGCGACACTTCGCATATATCATGAGAAAAACACTTTGCACTATATTTTTATATAAATGAGACAAGAAATCTGAAAGACTGCAGAAAGCTGCAGCACAGAAGGGTCCTCATGCATGAATCACAAAAAGTTCAGTTGGTATTAGGGAAGACAAATGGAATGTTGGGCTGTAAAAATATAAAACCATGCAGGCCCTATTTGATCACACCTGGAATACTGTGAACCATTTTTACTCTATTGTCTCAGAAAAGCTACATTGACATTGGAGGCAGTCCTGAGAAGGGTCACAGGATTGATCCTGGTTTTAGAGGCATTTTCTTATGAGGAGATATTG